TACTACTACTACTACTACAACAATTACTACTATTACTACTACTACTACTAACAACTACTACTACTACTTACTACTACTACTAAATATACTATTACTATACTACTACTACTACTACTATACTTACTACACTACCATTAAACCCGCTCCGGTAGCAGAGAAAAACTATCATAAGCAAACACTGCGTTCTAAAAAAAATAAGCAGAAAACACTGAGGAAAAGAAAACAAAGCATGAAGAGGAATATACTTGAGAAAGAAAAATTGCTCGAAAAAGCCAGGGAGGCTATTATGCTAGGAGGGGGGGAGGGAGGGGAGGGGAGGGCAGGGTGAGGGGAGGGGAGGGGGATGGAGTATGTTCTGGGGGGGAGAGATAACGAGAATATTTCATAGAAATGTAATATTTTGAGTAGGTAATTTATGACGTAAAGATGATAGTATGATAAGAGAGACAGAGAGAAGGATTTTAGAGCTATAACAAAGCGACTTAGAAGATTGTGTTTAGGAAATAACACCAAATTTAAAGACAATATTCTCTACATTAAAAAAGTATATTACCGTTGATGTGACAGCACGCAGAGACAAAACTATTTCTCAGTTATACACTTTGCAAACTGCATCCAGGATATTTTTTTTTTTTTGGGGGGGGGGGATCAATATAATCTAACATAATTGTACCTAAACTGATAGCCTCAACATTTGTAATTGTAAATTAAGTCATAAAGTTGTTAAAGCAAATATGTTTTAGAGTAATTAGAGTGTATTATAAGTTCAGAAACGTTTGAGAAAAAAACAGGGTTAAGATGAATTTAGAACATGTGGAAACATCTGGGATCTTTATTGTAGGAGTTGTCGCCATCCAGTGGCTTTATCAATACAAATTCCAGGACATTACTGGAAGCATAGAACTATATACAGAAGATGGGGGTAATCAGTTCCCTCACCTGGAGAGTTGGTGCGAAGAGCACCGTAGTCGGCTACGGACAGCTACTATAAACTAACCCATCGCTTTGGGTAGGGACCTATTCATAGTGACAATGCCCTGATCTGCTACAGTCCCTTTCACTGACGTTAGTATATAGCCGTTCCATGCACTTGCTCTGGAAAGTCCACGACTAGGTGATCTTGCACCAAACTCCAAGGCTGAGGGACTGATAACCTCATCTTCTGTACATAGTTCTACTGTCTTCTAACAGGATATCTCATCTTCTGTACATAGTTCTACTGTCTTCTAACAGGATATCTCATCTTCTGTACATAGTTCTACTGTCTTCTAACAGGATATCTCATCTTCTGTACATAGTTCTACTGTCTTCTAACAGGATATCTCATCTTCTGTACATAGTTCTACTGTCTTCTAACAGTATCTATCTTATGTACATAGTTTTAATTGTCTTCTAACTGGATATCTCATTCTTTGTAATAGTTCTACTGTCTTCTAACATGGATATCTCTTTATGTAAATAGTTCTTATTGTCTTCTAAAGCACTGTCTTGGGAACCTGTATTGATTAAAGCACTGGATGAGAAACGTCTACAATGAAGATACCCAGATATTGCACATGTGTCTTAATTTGCATCTTGTCGGTATTGTATACCATTCTTGTACAGGTTAATAAGTGTTGTCTGTAAAGGGGAGAATGAAGAGTGAAATAAATGAAATTTCCCGGGAATTCTAGACGGCGTCCGAAGAAGCGTAAAGAAGAAGTATATTGAGAACTGCAACTTTTGTTTTTAATTCGGTTCGGTCTGTGTGGAGATGGTCTGTGTGGAGATGGTCTGTGTGGAGATGGTCTTGGTGAAGATGGTCTTTGTGAAGATGGTCTTTGTGAAGATGGTCTTTTTGAAGATGTCTTTTGAAGATGGTCTTGGTGAAGATGGTCTTGGTGAAGATGGTTCTTCGGTGAAGATGGTCTTTGTGAAGATGGTCTCTTTGTGAAGTGTAGTCTTGGTGAAGATAATCTTTGTGAAAGATGGTCTTTGTGAAGATGGTCTTTGTGAAGATGGTCTTTGTGAAGATGGTCTTGGTGAAGATAATCTTTGTGAAGATGGTCTTTGTGAAGATGGTCTTTGTGAAGATGGTCTTTGTGAGGATGGTCTTGGTGAAGAGTGGTCTTTGTGAAGTGGTCTTGGTGAAGATGGTCTGCGTGGTGAAGATAGGATCTTGGTGAAGATTGTCTTGGTGAAGATGGTCTTGTGAAGATGGTCTTTGTGAGAGATGGTCTTGGTGGAAGATGGTCTTGGTGAAGATGGTCTTTGTGAAGATGGTCTTGGTGAAGATGGTCTTGGTGAAGATGGTCTTTGTGAAGATGGTCTTGGTGAAGATGGTCTTGGTGAAGATGGTTTTTGTGAAGATGGTCTTGTGGAAGATGGTTTTGTGAAGATGGTCTTTGTGAGATGGTCTTGGTGAGATGGTCTTGGTGAAGATGGTCTTTGTGAAGATGGTCTTTGTGAAGATGGTCTTTGTGAAGATGGTCTTTGTGAAGATGGTCTTGGTGAAGATGGTCTTGAAGATGGTCTTTGTGAAGATGGTCTTTGTGGAGATGGTCTTTGTGAAGATAATCTTTGTGAAGATGGTCTTTGTGGAGATGGTCTTGGTGAAGATGGTCTTGGTGAAGATGGTCTTTGTGAAGATGGTCTTTGTGAAGATGGTCTTTGTGGAGATGGTCTTTGTGGAGATGGTCTTGGTGAAGATGGTCTTTGTGAAGATGGTCTTTGTGAAGATGGTCTTTGTGAAGATGGTCTTTGTGGAGATGGTCTTGGTGAAGATGGTCTTTGTGAAGATGGTCTTTGTGAAGATGGTCTTGGTGAAGATGGTCTTGGTGAAGATGGTCTTGGTGAAGATGGTCTTTGTGAAGATGGTCTTTGTGAAGATAATCTTTGTGAAGATGGTCTTTGTGAAGATGGTCTTTGTGGAGATGGTCTTTGTGAAGATGGTCTTGGTGAAGATGGTCTTTGTGAAGATGGTCTTTGTGAAGATGGTCTTTGTGGAGATGGTCTGTATGAAGATGGTCTTTGTGGAGATGGTCTGTATGAAGATGGTCTTTGTGGAGATGGTCTGTATGAAGATGGTCTTTGTGGAGATGGTCTGTATTCTGGGCTGAACTAGAGACCTATTCTCCGTTCTCTGAAGTGAATTTAAGAACCCAGTTTAAGAACCCTCTGTACCACTCCAGTTTGTTAAGTCAGATTAACAACCCTACGACCCTATTTGCCAGTCTAATTGACCTTGTCAATTTATCAATCATTTTAACCAGCCCAGTGTATTCACCCAATTTACCAACTATTAAACAGCCCTTTTTATCACCCTTGTTGACACAATTAATTCACCTAATTTACTAATTTTGCTTAACAATGATATTTATCAGCCCTATTTATAATACCAAAACCTTATTTACCCAACCACTTCACTCCTATTTAATAGCCCTATTTATCAACCCTCTATACCAAACCTTATTTATCCACCCAATTCATTAACACAATTTACCACCTATTTAATGGGCATATTTATTAGACCAGTTTTTATCAAACCAATTTATCATCCCTATTTATACCAGTTTATCATCTCTAATTATACCAAGTTATCATCCCTATTTATACCAATTTATCATCTCTATTTATACCAGTTTATCATCTCTAATTATACCAATTTATCATCCCTATTTATACCAATTTATCATCTCTATTTATACCAAGTTATCATCCCTGTTTATATCAGTTGACCATTCCTATTTATACCAATTTATCATCCCCTATTTATACCAATTTATCCCTATTTATACCAGTTTATCATCCCTATTTATACCAGTTTATCATCCCTATTTATACCAGTTTATCATCCCTATTTATACCAGTTTATCATCCCTATTTATACCGTTTATCATCCCTATTTTATACCAGTTTATCATCCTATTATACAGTTTATTCATCACTTTTTATACCAGTTTATCATTCCCTATTTTACCAGTTTATCATCCCTATTTACCCATTTTCATCCCTTTATACCGTTTATCATCCCTATTTTCCAGTTTTCATCCCTATTTCCGTTTATCATCCTATTTATACCGTTTTCTCCCTATTTATACAATTTTCTCCCGGTTTACAAAATCTATTTCCCTATTCTGTCTCTGTATAGTGACTTATTAACTGATGTGGTTAATTAGGTGCTATATCGGTTATTAAGTGTCACACAGCGTCGATACTGGGCATTTGCCTCTCCGTCTCCCAATTAAAAACATCCAAAACTACTTTCCCATTTCGTTAATTGGCAACGCTTGTGGGGTCCTGAATCACCCCCTCCCCCTTGTAGTGCTAATAAAGGTTTCTCTCTTTTCCTCTTATTTCTCTCATTCTCTCCCCTCCCTTTTTCCTCTTTCCTCTTTCCATCTTAGTATACACTCTCGTCCCTTTCTGTCGCCCCTCCATCTCTCCGCCCCCCCATCCTTCGCTCCATTCTTTTCCCGCCCATCTTTTCCTCCTTAACCCCTCCCCCCCCCCCCCCCACACCATCGTTAGGATCGATCAAGAAATTTTTCACCGCCTCGTATATCATATATAATCTGCTGCGCTCTAGATTGAAGGTAATAGTGAGGTATACGACCTTCCAGAGGTGAGAGAGAGAGAGAGAGAGAGAGAGAGAGTACTCACCTATACGTTGCTGTATATGTGTGGTTCTTGTTGGTATACACTTGGCATGTGTGTGTGTGTGTGTACTCACCTAGTTGGGGTCGAGTGATAGCTCCTGGCCCCGTCTCTTCACTGGCCGCTACTGGGTCACTCTCCCTGTGCTATGAGCTTTATCATACCTCTGTTTACAGCTATGAATGGATCCTGCCTCCACTACATCGCTTCCCAAAATATTTCACTTCCTGACTACCCTGTGTGTGTGTGTGTGTGTGTGTGTGTGTGTGTGTGTGTGTACTCACCTAATTGTGGTTACAGGGGTTGAGACTCAGCTCCTGTGTGTGTGTGTGTGTGTGTGTGTGTGTGTGTGTGCGCTCACCCACCTTGTAGCCATCTCTGAAGCCGACATCACAGAAGGCGTGGTCAGCGCTGGGCATGATATCATCCAGGTTCCTGGAATCGTTGTTGAGGGCTGGCAGGAGGTGCAGGAGGTAGGATGCTTGCTCCCGCGTCAGGTTGGGCAGGATGGAGGCCAGCTCCTCCCTGGAGATAAACGCCTCCAGTTCCTGAAGGCGCTGGAAGAGTTCTTCACTCCCCTCGGACATCATGTGGGCGGTTGTCCCACTGGTTGATGCAACCCCCCAGCAGTGACGCACAAGTTGATGTGCAACTTTAGCAGTGATGCGCAGATTGATGTCCCTCAGTGGGTCCTTGTTTAGTGTGACCGAGAAAGAGAGCCTTCTGATTTTCTATCATTGATTCACTCACCTATATAATACACAATAATCGTAAATGTAGGTAAAAGTAGACAGCTCTCAGTAGATAGCCTCTGAGTGGTCTTTGACGTCCTCTACTAGTTGTCTACTAGTTGTCAATCCCAAGTACAGGAACGTGTCCTTGCGGGATCAACCCCCGTAGTGATGCACGGATTGATGTACGGTAAAGCGTCTTACATCAACGGTCCGGTTATCACTGCATTCTACAGTGTCATGGGACCTTTTTTTTTTTGAGATCGACGTTCCAGGGACTAAAGCAGAACAGTGTATTCTGTGGTCCTCAGGTCCGCCTGCCGCAATATTGTTCCTTGTCGACTTTCTTTGTTAACTCAAGATGTCTAATTTCCTTTCTAAAATGTCAGTTTTCTTGATATTACTTGAGCAGATAACATTGGTGAATTCCTCTTATTTACGGTCGGTAAGGATTTCAATTATCTTAATAACGATTCAGTGTTTAGCTGCAATACCTCGACTGTGTGTATCAGGAAAGAAGTGTTGTTTATGTGTTCTCAGGGGCTCGTCTTGCTAGGATATCTAGTAAATTCTGTTGTATGCGGTGCTACATTCGTTTGACGGAGGATCGAGCCTTCAGAAGTTAGTGCTGCGCATTAATGAGTTCGTTTGGGAAACTATTTTCGTGTTTGAAATATACTGCAAAGGATAATTCACATCTAGGCATCTTTCAAAGCTGCCTCGCTATTTATTCTACTTTTTTTTTTACTAGGCCTAAGGTTATTATTGCATAAGCTTAACACCTAGTCAATATAAGTGGTGAACGTTAGAACAAAACTCAAGAATCTCGGAATACAGCTGAGAATCTCGGAATATTACTGTAGAATTTCAGAATATAGCTGAGAACCTCTAGACAAGGTGCTGGGATGTGACCCGACAACCTCCTTAACTCTGGACAGATAAGACTCTTTACTTGTCTTCTCTTGGCATACTTATATTAGTAATGTAAGAGGTACTTGTGTTCGGCCGTCAGAGTTTGTTCTTGCTGTACACTGTCTGGGGTTTTTTCTTGTTATTTATTTTGGTTTTCTATGTTGAATTCTTACTGTTTTGCATTTTTTTTGTTTTTTTTATTTTTTATTTTTTATTTTTTTTAGGGGGAGGGGGTTAGGAGTATTAAGAACGAATTTTAAGTACTTGTAAGACCACTTCGAGTCACAACGGAGTTTTTGGAAACCCTTTTTGATTCCCTTCAGAAATTACTGTTAAGACCTTGGTATATTATCTATTTTTTTTCAAAACCCGGTCATAATGGCATGTTTTATGGTCACTTTGTTTTCTGTAAATAATTATAAAGCTTTTAGTAAATGGATTTTTTAAAATAAAACTATCAATTTGAGAGAATGTGAGTTGATTTTCAGTTGTGGAAGTAATAAATCTGAGGTCAGAAGAATTAAATATTTCTGTATATAAGAGGTTTAGAGTCACTTGTAAACACTTTTGCTTTGCGAGACAAGAGATTCAACATTCTAACACAAATGGGCAGTTTCAAGAGTTTAACTACTACGCTGTGCATCGTGTAGGTCACTCGACCAAGAAAAATAAGTGACACTTGTTTTTGTAAAATTCTATGTTCAATTTCTTGTGGTTGCGGAGCGCTCTCAGAGATGTGTCTTCATCTCTGCTGAGCCATCATACCTTCGGAATCGCTACAAGGTAGAATTGTGAGCTTTATTGAGCTTTGTTGTTGTTGGTTGATGTGTTAAGAGTGGAACTAGCTAGACTGGTGATGGTACCAATGCTGGTAGTAGCAGTAGCGTTGTTTGGGATGGTGGTAGTATGTATTATAATGTCACTGTTTGAGGTCTTGTTGACACAAGGGGTATTGGTGGCACCGGTAGAGTTAATGATGCTACTGGTGGTGGGTGGTTGCATTGATGGTGGTGGTGGTGGTGGTGGGTGGTAGCATTGATAGTGGTGGTGGTGGGTGGTAGCACTGATGGTGGTGGTTGTGGGTGGTAGAGTAGATCGTGGAGCTGATGCTGGTGGTGGGGTTGATCTTGTGAGTGATGCTGGTGGCGTGTGGGTGGCACCACTAGCGTTAACAGTATTGGCACTGGAGATTTGCCACTTGTAATCTTCGCTTGCAGAGGTAAACAGCCACGCTAATGAAGCAGTGGTAATTGAAGCCTCAGCAACGGAGGATTACCACATTCTGATGCTCCGTGAAGCTCAACTCGATACATACTGCTCCTCTCCTCAATCTGAAGACAGTGCCTCGAGTTCACTCTGTTTAATTGCTTGATTCAGTGGCTGTTTCTGGAGCTGTTAAGCGGCTGGAGCTGTTTAGTGGCTGTTTCACTGACTGAAATTCGTCAGAGCAAGAACGAGAGAAATAGAGTAGGGAAGAGGCAGTACCGATCGCAGGTGGAAGTTAGGGAGGGCAAGGATTCAGGAATTGTTATCTCCTTCTCTGGATGGGTCCTTAACTAATACCCAGGATGGGTCCTTATTCCCTGCCCAGGATGGGTCCTTAACTCCTGCCCATGATGGGTCCTTTTCACCTGCAGGGGATAGGTCCTTAACTCCTCTCCAGGATGGGTCCTTTTCTCTTGCCTAGGATGGGTCTTCAACTTCTGCCCAGGATAGGTACTTTACTCATTCTCAGAATAGGTCTCCTGAAGGACTACTGTGTCCTATCCTTACTCCGCTTCTGAAAAGAGTAAAACACTTAGTAAATAACCCTATGCACCATTAACATGCATCATTGTTGATATCTTGCATTAAATATGTATAATTTAAGAAATAATATCCATACAAGTCAACGCTCTGGAGCGGGATGACAAAAATGCCAAGTTACGTGAGAGGCGAAGAGTCGTGAACGCCATGGCTACGACTTACAAAATACTCGAAAGTAACGCCAGACCGAGGAGAATAAGGGTGTGGGAAGGGAAAGAAGAAAAGATCTGGGTGCAACCATGGCACCAAAGAGCAGGTAAATAGGAACACGCCGCGGTAAATGCTACACTGGCCAGCGTCAACATAGATATGATGGGATGTAGAGGAATATCAAGTTCATGAGTTTTAGGAAGCCCATAGAAACAATGCAGAGGGGGATGGGGAGACAAATAACAAGGAAACATTGAACAAGATCAGAGTCAGGAGGACAGAGATGGGGGGAGAGTCCTACGTCCCTTCATTTCCTCAAGAGGTTCTGTCTCTTATTCTCTTGGCTCTTGGCTGGCCAAAACTCTCACTCCCTGTCTTGGTACTTTTTCACCTGTTTACCTCCGTCCCTCTCAAGACTAAATTTATCGAACGTGTTCACCCTCTCCTGACCTGTAAGATGGTGAACATAGACTTCAGAAATGTGTGCAAAGTTTCTTTTAAAATAATCGCTTTGCCACCTGCTTGAATTCAATGCTTGAATATAGAGCACCAATGTGGAGCCTTGCTCGAGGGGAAAGCCTGGCCCTGAGAGTAAAGCCGGTCTCGTGATCAACGGACGGAGGATCGAGCCTCAACACTTAATGATACTCTTTAACCAGCAAGGTTTTAGCATAAATATAAGAGTAATCATCTAATCAAAAAGCCCAAAGACATGGATCCAAAATGGCGCAGGACATGATAAAGACACACAAAACACTGTGGAGTGTAAACAAAATCAGACTCACTATAAGCCAGCGAGAAAATACTCAGATTGTAACTATATAGGCAACAAAGGCACAGGGACACAGGGAAAGACTTTAAAGACCGGTAGAGCAGCTGAATCAGTTACACACTCAACAAAGGCACAGGGACTCCAGAGAGCTTTTCGGAATAGGATTGGCAAAACAGCCGAATGTGTCACAAACACAAGACCAGCTGATTGTGTACACGGCTTCCAGTGTAAATGAGAGAAATTATTCATGTCAGTCGGTTGCTGGTAGCAACACCACAGGCAAGAGTTACGAACAGAATCTATGAAATTTTGGTCTGTTAATATACTGTGTGTGAAATGATAAAAGCTTCCTCCTCTTACTGAGAATTAATCTCTAGACTTAACAGGTGGAATCGACAAGTGGGAGAATCATCCTGGCTCATACACACTCAAATATGGAACTACAAATACACGCACGTTGGCTGAGACGAGGAAAAAGAAGAGACATGATAACAACATACAAGATATAAAAAAGGACCGGTATATATATATATATATATATATATATATATATATATATATATATATATATATATATATATATATATATAATATATATATATATGTATATATATATATATATATATATATATATATATATATATATAGTATATATATATATATATATTATATATATATATATATATATATATATATAATATATATATATATATATATATATATATATATATATAATGTGAATGCTTTATTCTCAAGGACTTAAGCTTTCTTCCCCTTTCTCCCTATCTTCCTGGGGAAGAGGGAAGACATCTTCCCCATGACTCAACCTTTACTCTGCCTTCCTCCATCCCGGTCCTTCCAACTTCGAAATTAAGGCTTAGTTGGCCTTTATCGCATAGTTAAGCAGCTTGGAGGCCTGCTTCCCTGCTAATTACCTGGCGGGCTTGGGTAGTTAGGCTGTTACGCTATTAGAGCATCTCGTTTGATTTAATTGGAAAGCTATAAGCCTTGTTTTATGTTGATAGTTGTGAGTGTGTGTTAGTTGTCGTTTTCCAAAAGCAGCTGTCGATAGATACTTGGCCTGTTGAGTGAGTCACCTAATTGTGGTTGCAGGGGTCGAGACTCAGCTCCTGGCCCCACCTCTTCACTGATCGCTACTAGGTCCTCTCTCTGCTTCCTGAGCTTTGTCATACCTCGTCTTAAAGCTATGTATGGTTCCTGCCTCCACTACATCACTTGCTAGGCTATTCCACTTCCTGACGACTCTGTGACTGAAGAAATACTTCCTAACGTCCCTGTGACTCGTCTGAGCCTTCAGCTTCCAATTGTGACCCCTTGTTTCTGTGTCCCCTCTCTGGAACATCCTGTTTCTGTCCACCTTGTTTATTCCACGCAGTATCTTGTATGTCGTTATCATGTCTACCATGACCCTCGTGTGTGTGTGTGTGTAGACAGAGACACAAAGAAAGAAATGTAATTACAGATTTAGAGACTGTGTGTTTACTCACCTATTTGTGGTTGCAGGGGTCGATTCATAGGTCCTAGCCCCGCCACTTCGCTGGTGTGTGTGTGTGTGTGTGTGTGTGTACTCACCTAATTGTGGTTGCAGGGGTCGAGACTCAGCTCCTGGCCCCGCCTCTTCACTGATCGCTACTGGATCCTCTCTCTCTCTGCTTCCTGAGCTTTGTCATACCTCTTCTTAAAACTATGTATGGTTCCTGCCTCCACTACTTCACTTGCTAGGCTGTTCCACTTGCTGACAACTCTATGACTGAAGAAATACTTCCTAACGTCCCTGTGACTCGTCTGAGTCTTCAGCTTCCAGTAGTGACCCCTTGTCCGTGTCCCCTTCTGGAACATCCTATCTCTGTCCACCTTGTCTATTCCCGCAGTATCTTGTATGTCGTTATCATGTCCCCCCTGACCCTTCTGTCCTCAGTGTCGTCAGTCCGATTTCCCTTAACCTTTCCTCGTACGACATTCCCTTGAGCTCTGGGACAGCTTGTTGCAAACCTTTGTACTTTCTCTAACTTCTTGACGTGCTTGACCAGGTGTGGGTTCCCAGACTGGTGCTGCATACTCCAGTATGGGCCTAACATACACAGTGTACAGTGTCTTGAACGATTCCTTATTAAGGTATCGGAACGCTATTCTCAGGTTTGCCAGGCGCCCGTATGCTGCAGCGGTTATTTGGTTGATGTGTGCCTCCGGTGATGTGCTCGGTGTTAATGGTCACCCAAGGTCTTTCTCCTTGAGTGAGGTCTGTAGTCTTTGTCCACCTAGCCTATACTCTGTCTGCGGTCTTCTTTGCCCCTCCCCAATCTTCATGACTTTGCATTTGGCTGGATTGAATTCGAGAAGCCAGTTACTGGACCACATGTCCAGCCTCTCCAGGTCTCTTTGCAGTCCTGCCTCATCCTCGTCCGATTTAATTCTTCTCATCAACTTCACGTCATCTGCGAACAGGGACACTTCAGAGTCTATTCCTTCCATCATGTCGTTCACATATATCAAAAATAGCACTGGTCCTAGAACTGACCCCTGTGGGACCCCGCTCGTAACAGGCGCCCACTGTGATACCTCTTCACGTACCATGACTCGTTGCTGCCTCCCTGTCAGGTATTCCCTTATCCATTGCAGTGCCCTTCCTTTTACGGTGTGCCTGATCCTCCAGCTTCTGCACTAATCTCTTGTGGGGAACTGTGTCAAAGGCCTTCCTGCAGTCTAGGAAAACGCAATCTACCCAACCCTCTCTCTCGTGTTTACTTCTGTTACCCTGTCATAAAACTCCAGGAGGTTTGTGATACAAGATTTGCCTTCCATGAACCCATGCTGGTTTTCATTTATAATCTTGTTCCTTTCCAGGTGTTCGACCACTCTCCTCCTGATAATCTTCTCCATGACTTTGCACACGATACATGTCAGAGACACAGGTCTGTAGTTTAGTGCCTCGTTTCTGTTTCCTTTCTTAAATATGGGGACTACATTAGCTGTCTTCCATTTCTCAGGTAGTTGCCCAGTTTCAAGGGATGTGTTGAAGATTGTGGTTAGAGGCACACACAGCATCTCTGCTCCTTCTCTAAGGACCCATGGGGAGATGTTGTCCGGTCCCATCGCCTTTGAGGTGTCAAGGTCACTTAAGAGCTTCTTCACCTCCTGTGTGTGTGTGTGTGTGTGTGTGTGTGTGTAGCACCATTACCATCCACATATCATAGCCACATCTGCACCACATACACGAGGGTACCCACTAAACAGTGACTGATCAACAACACTTGCTTACTATAATACTGACAACTACACTACGTTCATCCAGCATCCACTGTACGGTGGCCACAACACACGTGTTCACTGTATCATCACCTATATACCCCTTGTGTCATATATCCCGTGTATCATATATCTCGTGTGTTATATACCCAGTATATCATATAACCCGAGTGCCATATATCCCATGTGTTGAATATCCCGCGTGCCGGCTCAAAGCAAATCATTATTGCATTGGAAAAGAAATTCACTAACTACGCCATAATTTGCAATTGAAAAATGATTGTGATTGATTGAAAAGCTTCACTTTTGTTATTGTTGTTGTTATCATGGCTGTTGTTGTTGCTGTTGTTGTTAGTATTGCTGTTGTTGTGTTGTTGTTACTATGGCTGTTGTTGTTGTTGTGTTGTTGTTGTTACCATGGCTGTTGTTGTTGTTGTGTTGTTGTTGTTACTATGGCTGTTGCTGTTGTTGTTGTTGTTACTATGGCTGTTGTTGTTGTTGTTGTTACTATGGCTGTTGTTGTTGTTGTTGTTGTTACTATGGCTGTTGCTGTTTTTTGTTGTTACTATGGCTTTTTGTTGTTGTTATTATGGCTGTTGTTGTTACTATGGCTGTTGTTGTTGTTACTATGGCTGTTGTTGTGTTGTTACTATGGCTGTTGTTGTTGTTGTTGTAATATGGCTATTGCTGTTGTTGTTGTTGTTACCATGGCTGTTGTTGTTGTTGTGTTGTTGTTGTTACTATGGCTGTTGCTGTTGTTGTTGTTGTTACTATGGCTGTTGTTG